CATTAAGCTTGAAACAAAGAACATCTAATATTTAATGCACCACTCCAAAACAAAAATTCTTCCCCCTGTTTTCTGTAACACTCTCGAAAATGCTAGGTTTAACTAAATCCTAAACGTAAGGATAAATTTAATACAAATAATTTCCCCTACGTTAGTAGACCATGTAATAATTTTAGGGGGTTTAGGAGTCAAGGCCTAATAGAGGATTGTCAAGCAAAATTAGCAAGCAAAGGCCAAACGTCAAGGATGCCACAAACTTGGAGCTACTTCCTCAAGGCTCTACGACTACCACCGCGGCTCATTGTAGAGACCACAGTCAGTGGAAGTCTTTGTTAAGTTGCGTTGGCCAAGAGAGAGGAGCCCCAAGTGTCCTAGACACTGCCCCATGGGTCGTGATCCACTCCATGACTCGTGAGTTGGGGCGTGAGACTCCGTTAGTTTTTTGTAGGAAATGGGAAATTTAGTGGAGCTACTGCCCAAAGAACCATTGGCACCATAACAGGCCGCGGTGAACTTGATGAGGGGAACGGGGGTTTGACTTCATTAAAAAAACACCAAACGATTCGGGGGAAGAGTTTAACCTCTAAGATTTTCATCTCAATTTCGTGGTAAAGATTCAAACAAGGTATGAGAACTTTCATTCATGGGATTTCATTCCCCATGAAGCCTTTCCTATACTATTTTTTAAATTGGGAATTTGTTCAAAATTAGGGTTTTGATTCTAACCTTGGGTTCTTCTCAAAAACATTTTATTTATATGTTGTTATCCTATACTATACTGAAATTGACATTCAATGAGGGGTTTTATTGCTAAATTTCCCTTGAACCCATGTGTTTTCCGCATGCCCCCAACTTTATAAAAATTATGATGGGTTCATTTATGAATTTTGAATTTGTGCTATAGTATATATGTCTATCTAGTAATTAATATTGTTTATTTCATGCTTATATGTAATTCTAAGTGTTATTTCAAGATATGATCGATGACTCTTGAAGGGTAAATTGTAAGTGTTGAATCTTGAATTATGCGCTTGAACACAATGCATGTAGGTAATCCTATGTTCAAGATTATGATATAGGAATGGTTTGATCCACTTGAAAGGTGGACGTGCATACTTATATGTATTTATGTATGAAGTTATGTTCCACTTGAATGGTGAAAATTCAAGACTAAAGTGTGATATATGGTATGTTGAAAGGCTTGTTTCCTTTACTATTAGACATGAGTATGTATTAATTGTCTTGGATGATTATATGATGATTCTAAGTTGAAAGGTAGTTCTCACCATATTAAATACATGAGCTATGTATGAGTTGGGTTGAATGAAGAGTAATGTACTCCTTCTCATATGAAATTTCAATTCACCTTAACTATTTATAAGTTGGAGAATAATGCTTCACGCCACGTGGATATGGCAAATGAGGTTGAGACGTTCTCGCTAGTTTAGGCCGGGTATTCTACATATGATCTAATGAGATGGAAACTCTCCCGCTAGTTGAATCGGTCGGGTTTCTAGAAGCAATCTTATTATCCCATATCTATGTGCCCGCATAGGTCTTAGCTAGTGCATCCATATTACAGATATATATGCTTAGTTCCACCTTAGGAATGTAGAACACCTGCTATCGGTGTGGGGCTATATGTCACAAGATTTCATGTAACTCTCATGGTCTATGCGGCTAAGGCAATTCTCCTTATGTAATAAGATAATGCATATGACCTGAACCATATTTATGATTTCTTGATAATTCTACTTCGTAGGAGTGACGGTATGTGACTTCACCTTTTACATTGCACAAGTAGTCTTTAAAAAATGAATATGGGTGGGTCCATGATGCTATGGTATGACATGAAGGTACGATATTCGTTGATTGGGTTGTTGTTAAGATACGGTTCTCCTTATGTATATGTGATGAACATAGTTATTCACTTCTGTATGATTGTGGATTATGATGGGATCTAATATAGATATGTGTAACTCATGTGATTCTAAATGGATACTTAGTATAGTTGGTATTATGTGATGCCAACTATGCATTGCACAAGTATGCTTTTAGGGTTGCTAAGGTGATGGTCATACTATGTTATGAAAAATCGTATGAGAATGCTATTATGATTTGTCTGATGTCCTTTTGTGCATAAATTGTTTTCCAACTTAATAAACGCATTATTTTCACTAAAATTTCTTTTTAGCAATATTAAGTATCTTTATACATGTTTCCATACTTCGTACTGTTTTTTCTAACCCATTCTCTTCTACATCTCCTATAATTGTATGTTCGGACCATTGAGGTGCTGTTAGTTCATTCTTGAAGAAAACTTGAGTTGCTACCTCTATGTTTTGGTGAGACCTCCATTCTGAGTACGGAATGTTATTGTTTCTAGTTCTACCTAACTTTCCTTGTTAAGGACTATATTGTATTTTCTTATGATAAGACTTACGATTAATGTAAGGAGTGATTCCTAACTTTCGTACTCTTATATTTAGATTGTCTTACAAATCTAGCTTCCCATTTTTCATATATGAAGAAAGTTGTAGTTCTATGATAAAAGTTTTAAGTTTCCGCATTATTCTTATGTCTTATGTAATGGTGGTTAAGGGCTTGTATGAGACTCCTTCAATTTCAAGTACGTTATGTCACTCCTAGTGTGTAACCCGCATCGTGACATATTCAATACAATTGAAATGAGATTCTACAATTTAAAAAAAAAAGAAGACCTTTTTAGAAAATGAAATATCTCATAATCATAAAAATGAAATTCTTACTAATAAAGATGGGAAAATGCACAAGTACCCCCTCAACCTATGCTCTAAATCCCAGAGACACACTTATAGTATACTAAGGTCCTATGACCCCTCTGCACTTACTTTGTTAATAATTTTCTACCCATATTCGGCCTGCGTGGCACTATCTTGTATGCCAAATGCTGGTCGGCTTTTTTTCAAACTAGTGCCACGTAGGCCGAAAAGGTGTAGAAAATTACTTATAAAATAAATTCAAGGGGGTTAATAGTACCTTAATATAGTATAAGTGTGTCTCTGGAATTTAGGGCATAGGTTGAAGGGGTACTTTTGCATTTTCCCAATAAAGATTATAAAAGGATAGGAAATCATTTCCCCATCCTGTAACGACCCTCAAAATGAAATAGGGTAATCTATCGCCTCATAAGGTCTTAATGAGTTAATAAGGTTTTAAGATAATTAATATTAGAATTATAAGTCAATTTTTAGAGTTGGGAAGTCAAAACGTCCAAGGACGACCAAGACGTCCGGAAACTAGTCTTGAGCGTGTGCTAGTGTGCCCTTGTATGTTGTATGTGTTTTTATGTGTTGTTTGGAGTCTAAAATTAGTGGATATGAACCTAACACCTATATGACCATACTTAGGGTCAAAGTCATCCGGTTATGAATCCCCTAAGGGCCCCCTAGGGGTCCTTGAGGAGGACCCAACCTTGGGCCAACAAGCTGCCCAAGGCGGTTACAAATTGTGTATAGATGAAACCAGTCCGTGTCGCGTACATGGTTCACGAAGGGTCAAATTTTTTTTACATGTCTTGGACTCTACTTTCCCAAAAACTTTTTCGAAAAATCTTGAGGGAACAACTCCACGATGTGGACTTGTTCCTCGACGATGATTCCGAAAATTTAAGTTAAGTTTTACTTGTCTAAAAAGGTCCAATTAATGTGGGGTTATTTTGGGGGTGTATTTTATATTGATTTTTAAGTCATTATGCACCCATTACCCTAATCAAAAACTTCAATCCTCAATTAGAGTCCAAAAATTTTAAGCTCTCCATTTACTCAAATTCTCTATAATTAGATCCTCCATTGGAGGACCTTCAAGTCCCAAGGAAGAAGGCAAAATTATCCAAGTTTTCATGCCTAATTTCGTGGGATTTCATCCTTGACTCTTCTTCCATTCATGGAGACAATTTTAAAGGCTTTCCAAAGATGTTTAAAAACATAGAAATTCCTATTTTTATTTCTACGCATGGGTTCTAGCATGAAAAGTTTTAAATCAATGTTTTGTGAAGTAATTAATATTAATTGAATATTTTAAGATCAAAAACTCGCTGAACCTATGTATTCCTTGAATTCCAAATTTTGGCTCTAAAGTGAATGAATTGATCATGGCTTGATCTTAGTGAATTCATGTGTAGATTGTTTTGGGATATTGAATTATGTACAAATCATGATAGAATTGTTTATAACGTGCCTTATAATTATGATATTCATTATTTATGTTGTTCTATCATTGATATGGATTGGTTGTTGGCTTAGTATTGTGTACATGGCTATTGGTAAGAGCCTTTGTAAAGTGAATTAGTCGAAAAGGCTAAAGAATAATGACGATGATGATTGTGAGGTGGTGAGTTGACCTAATTCCTCAATTTAGTATTGAAGTAATATTGAATTGCCTTGATTGCTCTGGTCCACTTACGGTGGCAGTGTCTAAGTGTTATAACTGTTATGAAAATGGCATTGGCGGTGTTACTATGCGAAGTAATGTGATCAGTAGAAGATGTTGTGGCTTATATTAATATGTAAAGTGGAGGATGATATGATATATGTGTCATATTGTATAATGTGAAGTTATTAAGTGAAGTACTCTTGTAATGTCTATATGATCGTTTATGGGAGTTAATGTTATTATTATTCTCTAATTGATGATATATGATGATGAAGGACAAAGAAGTGTCCTTATCGAATAATGTTTTACATTGTGTGGTAGACTTATTTGTCCCGACATGGTACTTGGATGTTATTGAATCCGTGATATGATGATGTTTGTGTCTTGATTGGTAGACTTAGGTCCCTCCACTTGATATATGAAAGTTATGTAAATATGAACTTTTGATGTAGTAGGGTTAGGCACCTCTATCATGTATGTGCGCATGAATGAATGATTAATGAAAGTGTAGGATCGGTAGACCTTAGATGGTGCCCTTGTAAGGATGAATAATATAGGACCTTGAATAAGAAAGGAAGGTCAAGAGAATAGAACCTTGAATATAGAAAAAAAGGTTAATAGAATCCTTAAAGTGAAAAACCGTAATGGTATCCTTCTTGAGTGGAATGATAGACTTAGGGATAGGTTGGCTGGAACGACATAAAACCATCTCTAAGGAAGTCATAAGAGTTATCCTAATAGTCGTAGGTTGGACGCCCTAGTGGACACATCCTTGTAGAGTAAATCAAATTTTTAGCATGGTTTTCTTGGATGTTCACCATACTTAGTGCATTCAATGAGCTAATTTCATATGTTGTTCTATTTCTACAAGTGTAGGTGGCAAGTGAGGAGTCTCTTAGAAGAAAAGCTTGAGACTAACATTAGAAGAAAAGATTGAGACTTGGTATATCCTCATATGATTAAGGACATAGTTATGCCTTAGTTTCCTTTCAAAAAGACTTTGTAATAGACTATAGTTACTTTTAAAATTGATGTAAGGGATGTCACCCAAAGATATTTTATGTTTCTAAGATGACCATGATGAGACTTAGTTCTTTCTTACGATTCTATAAATATTTGAACTATTTTTGGAAAATGCTTTAAACCGGCACTACTTTTCAAACAGGTGCGATGAACGACGTTTAAGGGCTTGTATAAGACCTTTGGGAGTTCTAGTATGTCGTGTGGCGACTTAAGGGTGCTCTTACTTTTAGGGTATACTCTTAAGTCGTTACACATCCAATACCCATAGTCCCACTAAATTCATGTTCATCCCAAAAAATCCAACACTAGTTTATGAAGTGTCCTAACAAAGATGATTTTATATCACCACAAAACCTCTAGTTAAGGATGAGAATCACCATTACAAAGAATAGTTTGTGAATAAATACTAACAAAAAGAGGGAGTTTTATATGAAAATAGGAGGAAGGAAACGAGAGTTACCAATCTGTAGATGGGCTTGACATTGCTCTTAGTAAGAACCATACCAACATATGGTTTATCCGAAAGTGGCAAAATTTCATCTTTGTTGATTTCTATACTTCCAGTGCTTTCAGTCATGATGAATTCACCTTTTTGGTTTGAAAATTGTTCAGAAGACGATCCACCCTAAAAAATAATAATGAAAAGAGAAGATAAGTTTTATAATCAATATCGGGGTATTGAGAGAAAGAGAAGTAGAAGTATATTATGATAATGTGATGCATTAAGTTAAAAACTAGTCCTTCTTACTAGTTTATATAATGTGATACTTCGTTTTAAAAAGAGGTGATGCATTTGAGATTGTTTTGACTTAAAGAATTACAAAATCAAATTGAATAACAATTATTCAAGGTCTTTTTTGAATCATAGCACAAATAATGTGGGATCATTATGGCTGCTATTGAAGCTTTTAACATAAATAATGTGGGGGTTTATATATAGTTTTGAAGTTCCGAAGCTATTGGAATTAAATGTATATCTTTAATGCAATTATAATTTAATATCTCCTAAAACTTTTAAAGTAGTAGTTGAGAATCATCGGGAAAATAAAAATATCATACATTGTAAATATAAAAAAAATTGTGATCTAAAAATCTATTTTTTCATCAATGGCCTGTTTATATGTAATGCGGCATGCTTCTAAACCAAAGAATGACATTAATTTTTTTTCCCTCAAAATTTTGACATTTTTTAAATTATTTTCCATTTATTATATGATGTATTAGCAAATCCTTACAATGTTTATTAATTACATTTTTAATCATTAATTCTTCAAATCAATCTATGTTACTATTTTTTTTGCATTTGCTTAATCTTAACTACCACTAATTGTGTTTCACTCTTTTTAGAAAACAATTAAATGATTTTCATTTCTATTGTGGAAAATACACCAACCTATAAATACTATTTTTTTTATATTAGTTCTGACTCATATAATTCCATAGTCATTCCAACAATCAATTTACATTTTAATCTATTCTTCACTTGTCTCATAATTATTATTATTTTTGCTATGATGTAACATTATTTACCTTATTTTTGCTTTTAATTAATTATTGATGTATTATATTTGCATGATAAGAATTTTTTCAAATTTTCTTTCTTTTTTAATCCTATTTAGAGAAATGGGAGTTTAAAGGATGAACAAGGAAAAAATCTTAATTTTACGTTTACTCCATTTTTTAATCATTCCAGAAATTTACAAATTTCTCTATTAGTTCTAGAAGAAATCAGTCCACGTCCTCTGTGCACCTCTTCCTCTTTCGAAGGTAATTTTCCTGGGATTCTTTAATAATAATATGTCTACTATATGTTTTATATGCATGCTAGCAGTTGTTCCTGTTTTCGACATGCATTATGCCTTTTTGATGTATTTTGTGTGGATTAACAACTAATTTGAGGAAGACAATGCACCTAATATATTTAATAATATTTTTGCCAAAGATGGAATCTAAACTTTTGTATTCTTTTGATTTTGAATCAAACAACTAAAGTGTGCATTTTTCAGGTTCATAATTTGTCAAGGTCTTGTTATGAGCTTTTTAAATACTCAAGTAAAGAGGTTGTACTCATGTAAAGATGTATATTCTTTCAAATTTTGTTGTACACCTAATTTGAATCCCAATATCTAATCTTCATTGTCAAGTGTTTTTAACATTGTTTAGAAAGTGAAATATGTATGTACAAGCTGTAGCATATTCCTCATGACAATCAACTAAAGAATTGCACATGGGTGGTCCGTGAGGTGCAAAAGTAACTTTTCTTAATGTAATACTTGGGAGAACTATAGTAGCCTTGTAAGAAAGGTTTATTCTCTTTCTTGTTTTTCAACTAATTTGACTTTTTTAGGTATGTGTATTGTTGTGTTATATAGATAAAAGTCAGTGATGTATCTACCTTTTTTTTTAAATCCAATAATACAAGAAATTGCTTACTTTTGTCCAAAAAAGTTGATGGGAATGTGGTTCCTTAAATTTCTTTTGGGAAAATTCTCTACTTTAGAGGTTTCATTCAAGCTACCATAGTTAGCGCTTGGTTTGTACTGGATCTTGTGATAATAGAATAAGGATTCTCAAATAACTTTAAAACCTACTTATGAGATAAGAGTATTCAGAATCTTTTTGTTGGGAAAGTTTTCTCAATTGCCTCTTTCCCATCTTAGAGTGTAATCTTGAGCTTAAAGTTATCTATTACCCATGTTTTTATATTCTAATTGAGGATTCTCAATAGTTCTTGAGATTCTCTTTTGCTAATTTAGGACAATAACAACACACACACACACACACACAGAAATACACATATATATATATATATGTTTACTCTCTATTCCTTTTCAGTAGAATTATTAAGTAATTGTCTGTTCTCTTATTTTTAATGTATATAAGTCATTGTTGCTTCCCTGCTTTATCTCTTGCTTTTTTGCTGACATATATGTCTAGCTGTTTTGCTTCAGAAAAATCTCTTTAGAGCCGAGGGTCTATAGGAAATCATCTCTATAGTAACTCATAATATTACAAATACTCAAAATTGCACTTTTTAACTGATAAAGAGTTTTTCACAGAAAAACTGAACCAATATGAATTCAATAACGCATGTATCATTACACGTCATCATACATATGTGATTAAACAAATCAGTAAATGAAAATGGCGAAGAGAGAGTGCATGAGCCTATATCAATTCAATAAGAGAAGAGGAAATAGAAGAGAGACGGATTTGTAAAATCAAGAAAAGAATACATAGTGAGAGAGTAGGAAAAGAGACAAGGAGAGTACATAGATTACCTGGTAAGGACGAGAGAGACGAGATCGCGCTACGGCCGGTGAGGAAGAGTAGTTTTCCCTAATTCGTATGGGTGAATTTGGAGAATGAAAAAGAGAGGTTTTCCCTAATCTGTGCCGGTGAATTTGTTGGTAGAGGGATTGTACCGGGAAATAAACTTTAGGAAGAATTTATATTAAGTAAAAACTATAGCAGAATTAACTTTTAATCGCTAGTAATAATATTTTTCCCCCATGGAAAATGCCGAAATGACGGTAATACACGAATGTAGGGAGCATTTAGCGGCAATATATTTATTGCCTCTAAAAAAATGTCCCTAAATGTGGTTTTTTTAGTTGTGTGCAAAACTTAGTAAATTTATAAAATTGACAAGTATCTTATATTTTTGGAGTGTTATTTGGAAGTGTTTCAATAATTTTTCTAGCTGGTTGTCCATTTAAGAATTCAGGTCGCTTTTGTGATTTTTGTTAGATAAAGAAAGGAGACGCTGCAAGCTGACTGTACTAAATTATTAGGTTTAAGAGCGAAAGAAGGCAAACAACAGATCAAGTAAACAATCTCTCCATTCAAAGTGTTCTAAATATGTTTTGACATATTTTTTGGTAATACCTATCCGTTGTCACTCAAGTGCATACTCTGCTACATAGTGTATTTAAATGAGCTACTTGATAGTGTTTTGTGGACCACTCATAGTAAGGGAGATAAAAATGTTCTTTATAATCATATGTAGGCTGCTCATATTATGCCAGGTAAGAATGAACTTTTCAGTTCCCTATGATTTATCAATGATGTTAAAATTTCATTCTTACCTCGCATAATATGAGCAACCCACATATGATAATAAAGCACGTTTTTATCTCACTTAATATGAGTGGTCCACAAAACACTATCAAGTAGATCATTTAAATACACTATGTAGCAGACCATGCACTTGAGTGAGAACAGAAAGGTATTACCAAAAATTATGTCAAAACAGAGTTAAAACACGTTGAATGGAGAGATTGTTTACTTGATCTGCTGTTTGCCTTCTTTCGGTCATAAACCTAATAATTTAATACAGTCAGCTTGCAGCGTCTCCTTTCTTTATCTAACAAAAATCACAAAAGCAACCTGAATTCTTAAATGGCACAACCATCTAGAAAAATTATCGAAACACTTCCAAATAACACTCCTAAAATGTAAGATACTTGTCAATTTTATAAATTTACTAAGTTTTGCACACAACTAAAAAAACCACATTTAGGGACATTTGTTTAGAGGCAATAAATAAATTGCCTCTAAATGCTCCCTACATTCGAGTATTACCGTCATTTGGGTATTTTCCATGGGAAAAAATATAATTACTAGCAATTAAAAGTTAATACTGCAATATAATTTTTACTTAATATATATTCTTCCAAAATATTATTTCCCGGTAAAGTCCCTCTACCAATAAATTCACCCACACAGATTAGGGCAAACCTCTCTTCCTCATTCTCCGAATTCACCCATACGAATTAGGGAAAACCACTCTTCCTCATCGGCCATGGCGCGATCTCGTCTCTCTCGTCCTTACCAGGTAATCTATGTACTCTCTTTGTCTCTGTTCCTACTCTCTCACTAGGTATTCTTTTCTTGATTTTGCAAATCCATCTCACTTCTATTTCATTTTCCCTTATTGAATTGATATAGGTTCATGCACTCTCTCTTCGCCTTTTTCATCGACCGATTTGTTTAATCACATATCCATGATGATGTGTAATGATACATGCGTTATTGATTTCTTATTGGTTCAGTTACTTTGTGAAAAACTCTTTATCAGTTAAAAAGTGCAATTTTGAGTATTTGTAATATTATGAGTTGCTATAAAGATGATTTCTTATAGACCCTCGGCTCAAAAGAGATGTTTCTGAAGCAAAACAGCTAAACATATATGTCAGCAAAAGAGAAAGAGATAAAGCAAGGAAGCAACAACGAGTAATATACATTAAAAATAAGAGAACACACGACTACTTAATAATACTACAGAAGTAAGGAATAAACACTAAACATGGATATATATATATATATATATATATATATATATTTGCTGTCATTCTCCTAAATTTGCAAATGAGAATCTCAAGAACTATTGAGAATCCTGAATTAGAATCTAAAATATTGGTATTAGATAACCTTAAGCTCAATATTACACACTAAGTTGGGAAAGAGGCATTTGAGAAAACTTACCTAATGAAAAGATTCTGAATACTCCTATCTCATAAGTAGTTTGTCAAGTCATTTGAGAATCCTTATTCTAGTACCACCAAATCTAGTACAAACCAAGCACTAAGCATGATAGTTTAAATGAAATCTCTCAAGTAAAGAATTTTCTTAAAAGAAATTTAAGGGACCAGATTCTCATCAACTTCTTTAACAAAAGTATGTCATTTCTTGTATTTTTGTATTAAAAAAAAGGTAGATACATCACTGACTTTTATACAAAGAACACAACAATACAAATACCTGAAAAGGTCAAATTAGTTGAAAATTGAGAAACAATATTTTATTCAAAGTATTCTGCAATCACATGTTTCTCCATCCATCAAGATCTGACACTGGAGTATATTGTTTTGAAATGATAGTGTTATTAAAAAAAGTGTCAAAAACATGCTATTATTTCAATCGGTTATTCATACTTTAAGTGTTGTTGTGTGATTCTTCTGTGGTCTTATCATAATAGAGGTTAATATAAAAGTAGGCTTTATTTTCAAGCATCATCGTAGATATCAAATATATTTAAAATATTATACATCTTTACATGAGTATAATGGATTTACTTGAGTATTTAAAAAGTTCATAAACATATCTTTGCTAATTAAGAACCTGAAAATGCACACTTCAACTGTTTTACATATATCATTCAAAATCAACAGAATAAAAAAATTAGATTCCATCTCTGAAAACATATAATTAAATACATTAGGTGCATTATCCACCTCAAATTAGTTGTTAATCCACATAAAATATATCAAAAAGACATAGAAGCATGTCAAAAACAGGAAAGTAAACTAGAACTATAATCAATAACATATCGTCCTCACATTGAGGACTCACCAAAACTTGGAGGTAGCAACCCATGTTTTCTTAAAGAATGGGCTAAGAGCACCTCAATGGCCTGAACCTACACTCGTAGGAGATGTAAAAGAGAAGGGGATAAACAAAAGCACACTAAGTCAGGAAACATGCATAAAAATACCTAATTATGCTAAAAAGGACATTTTCGTGAAAATCATGCATTGATTAAGCTTGAAAACCATTTATGCACATAAGGACATAATACAAGTCATAATAGCATTCTCATATGATTTTTCATAACATAGTAGGACCATCACCTTAGCAACCCTAAAAGCATACTTGTGTTTATAATCACCTTTAGTTACACATATCAACTTTAGATACCCAACTATACTAAGTATCTATTTAGAATCACCTTAGTTACACATATCAACTTTAGATTCCATCATAATCCAAAATCATACGTAAGTGAATAACCATGTTCATCATATGTACATAAGGCGAGTCATATCTTAACAACAACACAATCAACGTATATCATACCTTCATTTCTTACAATAGCATCATGGACCCACCCATAATCTCCTTCAAAGGTTACTCATGCAATGTAAAAAGTGAAGTCTCATACCCTCACTCCTAATACATATACTTATGAAGAAATCACAAGTATGGTTCAAGTCATATTCATTATCTTATTACATAGAGAGAATAGCCTTAGACAATGTGACCTACATGGAATTCGGTATAATATAACCCCACACCGAAAGAAGGTGTCCCGCTTGGCTAAGAGAATTAAACATATATAGTTTTAATATTTATCCACTAGCTAAGACCTATGCAGGCACATAGTTATGGAATAGAGAGATTGCTTCTAGAAACCCGGCCTATTGAACTAGTGGGAGTGTTTCCACTCATGAGAGAATATATAAAAGACCTAACCTAAATTAGCGGGAAAGTCTCTACCTCATTTGCCATATCCGCTCGGTGCTAAGCATTATTCTCCAATTTTTACATGGTTAAGGTGAATTATAATTTTATATGTGAAGGAGTACATTATTCTTCATTCAACCAAACTCATACATATGTCATGGATTCAACATGGTGAGAACTACCTTTCAACTAAGAATCATCATATAACCATCTATGACAATTAAAACATAGTCATGTGTAATAGTAAAGGAAACTAGTCTTTCAACAATACCATATCTCACAACTTACTCATTATATCTTCACCATTCAAGTGGAACTTAACATTATACATAAATACATAAAAGTAAGCACCTCCAGCTTTAAAGTGGATCAAACCATGTATATATAAGAATCTTGGACATTGGATTACCCTCATACATTGCCTTCAAGTCCATAATTCAAAATTCAACACTTACAATTTTCACTCCAAGGGTCATAGACCATATCTTGAAATCATGCTTAGAATTTCTACTGTAAGCATGAAAAATAAAAAAAATTATTTACTAAATCCTCATACATACTATTTCACATATTCATAATTCACAAAGAAACCGCATCATAATTTTCATAAAGTTGAGTGAATGGGAAAACACATGGGTTCAAGGGAAACGTAACAATAAAAACCCTAATTAAACTTTAATTTCATTATAATATATGATAACCAACATAAATAAAATGTTTTTGAGAATAACCCAAGGTAAGAATCGAAACCCTAATTTTGAATAAACATCCAATATCAAAAATAGTAGAGGAAGGGCTTCATGGGAAAACAAATCTCATGAATGAAAGTTCCCATACCTTGTTTGAAGCTTTACCACAAAATGAGATGGAAATGTTGGAGCTTGAACCCTATCCTTGAAGCTTTTGGTTTTCTTCAATGGAGGAAATTTGTATAGAGAGAAATATTTGAGAGAATTAGTTTTGGGAAGTATTGAGTTTGAGTCTTGTAAATGGATGAAAAAGACTTTAAAACCTAATTATATTTTACCCATAAACCATCCAAAACACTCACACATATATTGGACTCAAAAGTAACAGACTACACTAACCATCATTAAAAGAACTCGTCCAGGTTCACAATCCACGCCTCACGAGCCGTATTGAGCACCTCGACTTATGGTGATTGTCATGAGGATTAAGGCAATATCCTCTTCAAGATTGCCAATTCCTACAAAACCAAGTCATGTTCACGAGCCCCCTTCCCCTTGTCAAGAGCACCACGGCCTGTTATGGTGCCTGTGGTGCTTTGGGTATCTCCCCTAAATGCCCCATTTCCTAAAAAAAATAAAAAAAGCTAAGCGAGTCTCCCTCACGA